GGTATGACTTCATTGAAAATATACACAGATACACAGACACACACACTTTGTATATGTGTACAGGTTTTTTTTAAAGTCTTCTTTCATAAATACATCCTGACCTTAGTTTCTCCTCCCTCCACTCTTCTCAATCTCCCCCTCCCCCAGATCCATTCCTCCTCTTTTTTTCTTTCATAAAAGAGCAGGCCTCCCAGGGATATCAACCAAATATGGCATAACAAGATACAACGAGGTACACACCTTCATATCGGAGCTGGGAGAGGCAAGCCAGTAGGAGGAAAAGTTTTTTCTCGTTAAAAAATGTTTAGAGGGATTAGAGAGAGAGAGAGCTCAGGAGTTAAGAGCACTGGCTGCTCTTTCAGAGGACCCAAGTTTGATTTCTAGCATGGTTGTGCATAACTATCTGTAATTCCAGTCTCAGGGTATCCAATACCTTCTTTTGGCCTCCGAGGACACTGCACCCATGTGCAGAGACATACATGCAGGCAAAGCACCCACACACATAAATGGAAAATAAATGAAAGAGAGAATAATATAGAGCCATGAGTGTTTCCATATCTGTTTCAGTATAAGATACAGTCAGGGGCTAAATTAAGCTTGTTAATGAAAGTAGACTTGACATACTCTTGTGCATCTCTGATATACCTGCTAGGTATTGTACATGGGATAAAGCATGATTTGGCAGAGTTCTAGCTCTTGAAATCTTGCAACAATACTTAAAATTATTTGAAATGCTCAAATTATGTAGTATTCTTCATGGTTATCATCAAATAGTATTTCTTTAAAAAATCTTCAAATAACTTATTTTGTTAAATAAATTGGTAAACAAGGGACACAGGTTAGCAGGTTTAATGTAGGTGACTAAAGGACCATAGTGTTCAGATGCCTTCCCTTTGTTGTAAGACCTTTGGGGTCCTAGGAACTAAGAATGTTCCTTGGCACTTTATGCTTTCTTAGAAGCGAGTGGTTTATGTTCTCATGGGAATTTAAAGAGAGAGAGAGAGAGAGAGAGAGAGAGAGAGAGAGAGAGAGAGATCTCAGGAGTAGAGTAGCCTGGTGGTTTTTTCTTTAAAATTTGTTTAAGTGTGTGTGTGAGTGTATGTGTGTGCGTCCATGTCATAATGTATATGTAGAGGTCAGAGGATAACTTGGAAAAGCTAGTTTGGTTTCTTTCTTTTACCAGATTGGTTTTGAGGATCTCACTGTGGTTGTCAGGCATGGCAGCATGCTTCTTTACCATATCAAGCCATATTGACAATCCTGAAGTTCCTTTAATAGTTTTTTCTTTTAAAACATTTTTACATATGTGTGTATTTGTGAGGGCATTTGTGCGGAGGTCAGAGGACAACCTCTGGGCATCAGTTCTGTTCTTCTACCATGTGGGCTTTGGGGATCAAACTGAGGTTGTCAGTCTTATGTGCTGTCAGCTCTTTCTTGATGAGCATCTTGCCAGTCCCTGTAGGGACTGAGTTTCCTCCCTCCCTCCCTCCCTCCCTCCCTCCCTCCCTCTCTCTGTCTCTCTCGCTGTATATTTTTAAAGAGAATATGAGTTTATTCTGTAGCCATTTTGAGTCGTCATGGCCTGGGAACATGGAACACAGATTTATGTTACCTCAAATTCCATGTTGTAACATTGAAACAATTTCATGATGTTTTTATAGTTTTATGGAACAAAGAAAGCTATAAATCAAGGCAAGTTTAAATTACATTAGTGGGTACACCTGAGAGGGAGGTACAGCAAGATGGAAAAACCTTTTTTATTGGCTCAGGATGACATCTGTTGACAGTCTTAGCTTTTGAATTGGTAGAAACTAGTAGTCTGCTAAGTTAATAGTTTCTAAAAGGGTTTTAACTATTAGTCCCAAGATCTTAGTTCTGACAAAAAGGTAGTGAGCAAGGATTGGCTATTCTGGAGGGCTAGAACTTAGCCCAAGGTTTGGTAACTAGCCTCTGGACCTGCAACATCCCAGTCTCTCCACAGTCCTGTAGTTCTATTCAGTTAGCTTTTACAGACTCAGCTTCTCTTCTTTGTCTTCATACTCCTTCTTCCATTATGGGTCTTTTAGATCTCCCTTTGTCCCACTGCTCACTTGTCTTTTAGCTCCTAACAACCTTATAACTCTTTTACCTTTTACTCTTAGTTTTTGAGATACATTATTACCATGTAGAACTTGAATTGTCTTTACAGCCAAGCTTGGCCTTGAACTCATAATCCCCTGCCTCAGCCTCCTGGTTGCAGGGATTATAGTCATGCACCACACTCCTGTGATGGAGGAAGGTCATTGTTTAAGTAATAAAGAAACTGCTTGGCCTCATAGGTTAAAACATAGGTGGGAGGAGTAAACAGAACAGAATGCTGGGAGGAAGAGGAAGTGAGCTCAGAGGCCATGCTCCCCTCTCCCAGGCAGACGCGATTGATGAAGCTCCAACCCAGGATGGACGTAGGCTAGAATCTTCCCAGTAAGCACATCTAGGGGTGCTACAACATTATTAGAAATGAGATAGTCCAGGTGCGAGAGTTAGCCGAGAAAAGGCTAGACATAATGGGCCAAGCAGTGTTTAAAAGAATACAGTGTCCGTGTAATTATTTCGGGGCATAAGCTAGCAGGTGACCGGGGTGCTGGGGACTCAGCCCCGCCACTCCTATTACAACACTCCTGTCTTTGTATCACTTCTGTTCCAATCTCAAGGATCTTCTGGCTTTTTCATACCTTTAAATTGCACCTGGCCCTTGCTCGGAATCATGGCCTGGCTGTATATATGTTCAGGTTTAATTTCTCTGCTTGTTGGTCTGTATATTTATTATTTATATCTTTAAGAATGAACATCTCACAGAAGTTCTTCTTTCAAGAAAAGAACTCTTTATGCCAAAATGTCTCAGATGTTAGTGTGTTGTATGCACATGCACTTTTATTCCAAATTAGTCAGTTGATACCAGATATGGGTCAGGTCATTCATCCACATGTGCCTGCTGACCTTAGCTTTGTAATAGACTTGTTGGGACAGGAATAACCTATGTTAGGGTGTAAGCATGGCTGTGGGCATGGTAGGGATATGAAGATGGCCCTTTGGAGCAGAAGGATTTGGGAAAGGGGCGTTTGATCAGCCTATCACCAGAGGAAGAGTTTCTTGGGAAGAAGAGCTAAGTTTGGTCAGTCAGACATGTCTCGCACATGGGCAGTTGGAAACCTACCAAGTGAGCAAAGAGTAGCATGGATTATAGAGTCTTGCGGGCCAGTTAGAGGAGGTGGACTATTATGAGAACAGCAGATAATCTCATAGGCTTGTGTTTTGGTCCTGGAGATCGATCCCAAGGCCATACACATGCTGGATAAGTACTTTACCTCACCAGGAAGATTACCGTCAAGCTGACTGTAGTGTTTTAAGCAGAGGAATCAAACACCTTCTCCTGTTTATTCCAGATTCTTTCTGTCAGATAGCTTGATTCCTATTTTCAAACTTCTAACACTACCCAGGCATGAAGTGATACAGATAGGGAAGAAAGGATCTGTTTATGAGGCTGGAGAAAGAGCCACCATGGCTAACATTAACAGCAACTAGCTAGCGTGCCTTCATTCTCAGGAGAGAAGGAACACACTCCAGGGGAGCAGGAACTTCCATTTGGTACTAAGTGATGCAGCAGCTCAACAATTAGCACAGAGATGTCTGTGCGCTGATAACCTCTCTTCCTTCTGCCTAGTTTACTTTTGCCTTCCTTGTGGCCACCTCTTGGTTCAGTGGACATGGCCTTTGGTAAAAATATGTGTTCTTGGTGTAGATGGGAAGGATGGAGAAAAGCCCTAGATGTTTCTTTCTCCACTTCCATTTGGCTTCCGTCCCCAGAGCCTAGTATAGCTGTTGTTTTCTCCTCTATTGGGTCTCTGAACTTCTGAGCTCTTAAATCTTCAAATTTGGCATGCCTGCCCTCTAGTGGCAGGTTTGATGCACCCTCTTGTTACCCTGCTGATGGCAATACCATGGTAGTTCCCACAACTCAGCTTTGTATTTAGTAAGTATTCCCAACTCACACATGTGAAGGACAGATTCAGTGATGCTGACTTGCCACTTATGTAGGACCCAGAGACATGGGTTTCACTTGAAAAATTTGACACCTGGATTTATATAATGCAAATACAGCAGGAATAAAGAGAACATTAACTCACTTATTATAGCTCATGCTTATAACCCCAGCACCCAGAAGTATGAGGCAGAATTACAAAACAATCCAGTACCAATTTTGGCTACAAATTAATAAGTTCTAGGTAATCATGAGGTACAATGTGAGATCTAGTCTCCAAAAAAGGAAGAAAAGAAAAAACCAAAAAGATTATGTGGTTATAGCTGTGTCCATATTCTGTGCAGAGCAGTAGAGAATCTGAGGCCAGTGAGCTGCTCAGCAGATAAAGCACTTGCTATGCAAGCACGAGGAGCAGAGTTCGGATCCCCAGAACCCATGTAATGTCTGGTGGGCATGGTAGCCTGCCTGCAGTTCTAGTTCTTGGAATGTGGAGACCGGAATCAAGCTGCTAGCTAGACTAGCTTTAACAGAGAACTGAAGGTTCAGCTGAGAGACCTTGTCTCAGTACATGAGGTGATGACCAGTTGAGGAAGACTCCTGATATCAGCTTTGAGCTACCATACATACTTGTGAAAAACTTACTATTTTGTTATCCACTTAGATAATCTAAAATCAAAATGTGATGAATAGCCGAAGATAAGAAAGGCTGTCTTTTAAAACTCATCTTTTAAGACGTTGGAAAACTTCCATCAGTCTTTAACTATTTACTGTTTCAAGTTCAGTAATGTTAATTTTGAAGGTACAAGAAAGCATAAAGCTTGATATCTACTTTTTATCATAGTTTATATTGTGGTTTAGTTCTTATTATGAGGCAGTTATATGTATTCCCTTGAGGGAAATTGAAGAGAAATACAAAATAACTTTCATTGCTATTTGAGTCTCATCTCATGAAAGGAAGGTTCTGTGAACACTGTTTTTAAAGTCCTTTTCAGTGGAGAGAGAACTGCAGGATAACAGCACTAGTTACCCAGATGAGCCCTGGAGGATAACGGAAGAACAGCGGGAGTACTATGTCAATCAGTTCCGGTCCCTCCAGCCAGACCCGAGTTCCTTCATTTCAGGTGAGAGAACATGGTGTCCTGGAACATGATTCCCATGTGAATAATGGAGAACATCTTGAGAAACAGTTGACACAAAATGAGTATAGCAACCTTTTCTGATTCTGATTTGTATTCCTCTAAGGTAGAATTCCTTATCAAATGTAAGTCATGCAGAAAAAAAATGGTAACGAGCCTGGGAGAATAATACTGCTGTTGCAGAAGGGTTAGGTGGGAATTTGGGGGAACTTGGTTCAGACCCTGCACCTTCTCAGTGAAAGCACTTGAAATAGTAGATGATAATGCCAAGGGACACCTTAAATTGCTTACTGATTGTATTAGAGTCAGGGCAAAGACAAATACATTATTCCAACTCAGGTCTCCTAATGTTTTATGCTCCCTAGAAGAGTAGGTTAATGCTCATTTCCTTGGTTCAAGTCTTTCTTCCCTGGTTTTTGAAATTAGGATATGAGAGAAAAACTGGCCAGCATTTTCTCGATGGCAGTTCTTCTGTATTATTTTTAGATATCTGCATTCCTGTTGTGCCCTCATGTAAATTCAAGCTGAGAGGAATGGATTTAATTCCCATGTGCCTACATTTTACGATGCTAATGACTAAACAAACAGTGAAATAGTAGAGTCTGGAAAAAAATGTATAAAACTTTCATCTTACACTTCAATTTTAAAGAATAGCAGTGTGGTTTTGATCATTCTAAACTAACAGTGAAGCATGGATTATATATAATTATATATTAATTTTCTATGAAATAAGGTATATAATTGATATATTCTTGTATATGTAAAGACAACCATCATTTTGATAATTGTGGGGTGATGGCATTATGGAAGGTAGGATAGTATAGAAATAACAAATGAATTTTACTATTATTATTTAGAAAAGACAAACAGAAATCCAGATTACACATATTGACAATGGGATAATCTTAGCTCTTGCTCAACTAAGTCTTTTCACAACATATGCAGATATTTAGCCAAATATGAATAAGTAGTTGTTAGAAGTATTTTTATTTTCTTTCAGCCTTTTTATTTTTGAAACATTTCATGTGTAGATACAACTTGACATGCCACTATAACAAATCCCTATGGACAAGTGTCAGCAATTTTATCTTTATTCCCTCTCAGCCCATGCCAGATTATTTGATTTGAAAAATATTATGGGATATATCTTGGGTCTCTTAAAAAACATAACCAGAACTCACTGGTACATGTGAGAAAAAATTACTGATTCTTTAATAAATCAAGTCTTCATTGTTCAAATCTTTCTGATTGTTTTGTTAGTTCCTTTAAAATATTTAATTTGATCATAATGAAGACATCCCTTAATGACAGTTAACTAACATCTTTTAAAATAAACATCTTAGTTGACATATAATTAATATTCCATAAAACTTACCATTTAAACCTTGCAGGTCAGTGGTTTTAGTTCAGTTTCAGACTAGATTCATAACTCAAATTTAGAACCTTTCCCTCACTCCTCTATAATCCACCCACTTAGTAGCCGTTATTCCCTACTCCTGCTTCTCCACCTCCTGGTCCTAGGACACTATTAATGTACTTTCTTTCTGTAGATTTATAATATAAATAGAGTCTCTTTTTCCGGTGGCTCGATGGTAGAGCTGGGGTGCAAGTACATGAGCACATCTCACTTGACACTCAGGCTTTCTCCTTAGCTGGTAGCATCTGGGACAATGCTGAACTTGATAGCTGTCAGTCAGCTTCCCAGTGCCATCCACTTAACTTTTGCGAGACTCTATGGTCCAATAGTCTCCTATGTGAAAACCTGCACTAGCTAGTGGGTGGGGTCTACTGTGCTTTGAAGAGAGATGTTCCAGCAGCAAACAGACAGGTAGGAGAAGAGAGTGTCTTTATATCTTGGTCACTGTAGAAGAGTTTTTAAAGAGGATGAAATTCGGTCAAGTGGCCCAAGGTGGTTGGTTGCATTGGTAGCCAAGATCATGTGATAGCATTTGTGATACGGTGCTTTTGAGAAGAAGGCTCATTGGGTTATTGATACTTTGATTTTGATTCTTAATAATTTATCAGAAGAAAGTAAGTATTGCTTTAGGATCCATTATAATTATTTTTAAAATTTATTTTATTTTGTTTTGTTTTTGAGACAGTGTCCCACTGTATAACCCTTGCTGTTTTGGAACTTGCTCCATAGGCCAGGCTAGCCTCTCACAGAGACCTTCCTGTCTCTGTATACCAAGTGCTGGGGTTAAATGTGTGCAGGCCGTGCCTGGCCTGGTTTTTATTTGTTTGTTTGTTTTTTAGTGCTGGGGGCATAGATTCCAGGGCTTTGCATATGACAGTCAAGTACTCTGCCACCAACTACATTCCCACCTATTCCTATTGCTTTAAAGCCAATTAGAAAACATGTAATTATTGTGGGAGACTTTTGACTTAGTTAACAACAACTTAGTGCTTTAATGCTCACTTGTGTTAGAAATCAGGCCTTTGAATTGGGAAGGTGCTGAGGGCTGGAAGTATGAAAGAGCAGTGTGGCTGGGACAGTGGGATGACAGCTCTATTTTAACTGACAGAGGTAAATTTACAGTGAAAAGAGTCCTGGATGGATTCTTCAATGTGCCATCAAGGGATGTTAAAGTTCATCAAAAATATTTCTCAAAATATAAGCAAAGAGGTCAAGACCATGATGGGTTCACCCACTGAAACAGTTTACCTGAGCTAATGGGAGCTCAGCAACTCCAGCTGGACTGGGAAGGAACCATCATAGGACCAGACTAGTCCCTCTGAATGTGGGTGACAGTTGCATGGCTGGAGCAGACTGAGGGGCCACTGGTAGTAACACCAGGATTTGTCCCTGCTGCTTGTACTGGCTTTTTGGGAACCCATTCTCTTTGGATGTATACCTTGCTCAGTCTAGATATAGTAGGGAGGGCCTTGGACCTTCCCCAAAGCAATGTTCCTCTCTGAGGAGTGGAGAGGAGGGGAGGGAGTGGTAACTAGGATTGATATGTAAAATGAAAAAAAGCTTGTTTTCTTTTTAAAAAATAAAAAAAAATATTTCTCAAGCTGTTTCTCTTGTTTCTGGTGGAATTAGTGATGCCCTTTTCTTTTTGCTTATCATTTGCCATGCTCTGCATTGTCTTTCCATTCTTTAAGTATAAAACTGAACATATTTTTACTTAAGTAATTTTGAAGGTTTTTTTTTAGGAATTTTTAGTAAAAATGTGCAGTTTTGATAGAAACAAAGGAAAAATTTACATGGTTTGTACTTGTCATGAGCATTTTGTCATTGCTTCTTTTTATATATGCTACATTCCTCTTATTTGTCTTTTTATCATTTTGCAACAGTGCCCTCAGAGGTGCTAGGCAAGCCACATGCTGCTCTTATGAAAGGCCTGTGATTTGTTGTTGCTTGTAGAGTAAATGCATTTGTGGTTATTTGGTAGAGATTGCTGAATGGAAAAGTGGTGATTGGCTTGCACATAGCTGTTCAAGACAAAGAACTAATGGCTTATTTAAACAATGGCTTTTGACAGGGTCTGTGGCCAAGAACTTCTTCACCAAATCCAAGCTCTCCATCCCAGAACTCTCTTATATCTGGTGAGTATGATTACTGCCAAGTGGTATCATATGCTCATCTTTTAGTGCTTTTGAAAGTCTTAACTTTTTAAGATGTGATTTTTATTTGCTTTGAGACAGAGTTTCACTCTGTAGCCCAGGCTGACCTGTAACTCACTGTGTAGCCCAGACTGGCCTCAGACTTGTAGCAAGTGCCATGCTCTCAAGTAAGTTTGGTTTTTGAATTTTTTGTTGGTGTTAAGGTTTGAATCCAGGACATCACACATACCAGGCAAGTGCTCCACTGATGAACCACACTCCCAGCCCTGAAAAGTTTATTTTTGAATGATTTTTAAAAACAGATTGAGAGTGAACAGAACTCAGGGTTTTGTTGCGATGAAGATTAAATAATTATATGAAAAAGACAATGAACAGTATCAGGTGTACACTATAAACTAAGGGTTAGCTACTTAGTTTAGAAGTAATTTCCTCAGGCTGAAGAGATGACTTTTCTTCTAGAAGAGCAGATTTTTGGTTCCCAGCACCCATATATCACTCCTGACTACTTGTAATTCCAGCTCCAGGGGATTCAATACTCTTCTGGTCTCTTAGGGCACTGTATTCATATGGCATACATACACGGACATACATATATATGCAAAAGTAATTGCCTACTTATTACTCTTTGTCATCCTGACTTCAGCCTAGGCAGCTGTGCACATGTGAGATACTATGTCATATATTTTATTTATATATATATATATATATTTTTTTTTTTTTTACTTAGTGTGAGGCAAGAATCCAGAGGACTTTGAAAAGCCATTCTTCATAATATTTTATAAGGCAGAGTGAACAGAAGGTCCAAGAACATTTTGGAATGAAGTGAAATTTGTCTATTCTAGATGCCTGTGAACTTTGTAAATTTGGCAGGTGTTTCACACCTGGGCCCCAATTCAGCATTTGCAGCTGCAGTGTCGGCTCTGCCTTGCTACTGAGGCCTGCCACAGTTGTAGCTCCAGGAGGGCGGTGCTGCAATGCTCCAGATGGTTCTCTTTGCATCTATGAAAGTGCTCAGCCCCATAAACTCCTGCCTTTGTGGATTATAAATATATATTAAAACATTGGAATATTTATGTAAAGCTTTTTCATGAGGCATTACAAAATCGTGATAGAATTTAGGATCGCACACCACATATTGTGCAATATTGTTGAAAAATTATTCCTGTCATATCGTGCATGCCAGTGTAGCTGGGATTTTGAGCTGGATTTAGGTTCTTCAGCCATATACATATAGTCTGGCTTTTTATAGTATAGTTTTTTTTTTGCAACAGGACTTATGTTAAGATTTTAAGGGTAGGGAAAAATGACCATTTTAAAAAAGAATATAGTCTGTTTTGGCAGAACTCCCAGCCTTGCCCGGTGAGGCTTCCTGTCTCTTTGTTGAGATAAATGCATGAAGGCTAAATGGCATACTCTCTATCCAGCATCCGAAGCAGTTCCCAGATGCCTCACCCTGGGGAGCAGCTCTCTCAGGGCTGATGCATTCTGAATTAGAGCAAGAGTCTCAGGGGGAAAAGGAGGATGCGAATGATCCGAAGCAAAGTTACAGACCTTCCCTTAGAGATTTTTTTTTTTTACTTTTCCAATAGCAACATCTTTTTAGTACAATCTCACACGAGTCTCTCTCTATACTTGTCCTAATACAGGTATGCTTGTGTCTGTACACCACAGAGATAATAGTGCTTAACAGATCTTAGTTCTTTTGTCAAGTAGGTTTCTTTTGTGTCTTTTAGCGAGAGACAGTGACTGAAGTGATGACAAGCCTTTTCCAAGAATCCCTTTCCTCATGGTTGTCTTTGCCAGTTTCAGCCTTTTCTAGTTGGTACTTTCATATCAAAACACAAGCAACCAGTGTTTCTTGAACCTGTTTGAATTTCTATACACACATCCACTCTCTTGTTCTCTTGTTTTCTCTGTCCCCCTTGCTCTCGTTGTCTCTAGCTTTCTCTGTTCTTTCTCCCTTTCCATCTCTTCCCTCTTTCTTCTTCCCTTGCCTCATCCTGTCTCTTGTCTCTGTGTTTTCAGACAGGGTCCCATGTACTTCAGACTGACTTTGAAATTACTATGTAGTTAAGGCTAGTCTTGAACTGTTGATCCTCCTGCCATTGCCTCCCAAGTGCTGGACGTACAGGTATGAACCATCATGACCAGCTCTCTGAGAAGTTCTCATACAGAGACTAACTTGCTACCAAAATGCACACTATTTGAAAACATTAAGGTTTTTCCTTAAAACCTAAAAAAATAAACCCGAAGTGCGCATGTCCAGGCTCTGAATGAAAGCCATAGTGGCTGAGTGTCTACTTCCTTGGCTCTTTTCCACATTAAGTCCAGCACTCTTCACGCTGCACAGCCTGCACTTATCGGGCGACTGTCAGGTAACTGCAGAACCCCAGACATCACTTTTTTCTTTTTCTTTTCTCTCTAGAGTTCTCTCCTATGCCTTGTCTCAGTGTTGACCTATCGAAGAGCTTGAAGAATTTCCATTTTTATTTACAAAGTGCCACTGATGATACTGCCAAAGAGCAGTTTGTTTTCTTCCTCTGTGTGCCCCTTGGGATTTCACATTGGGTTGCCTAGGGAACTTTGAGGACACCACAGGCCATGGGCAGGAATCTGGGATCTGTGTGTGTCTGTTTGAGGCTGATGCTGCATGACAGGTACTCATGACATCTCTTATCTCTAGGGAACTCAGTGATGCTGACTGTGATGGAGCCCTGACCTTGCCTGAGTTTTGTGCTGCATTTCATCTCATTGTAGCACGAAAGAACGGCTACCCACTGCCAGAGGGCCTGCCTCCGACTTTGCAGCCAGAGTACTTGCAAGCAGGTAAGGTCTCATTATACACCATAAACCTTAGCTATTTTTCTTAGAGGCCTAATAACAAACTCTTATTTCTTAAGATGATACCTGGACATCAGGGAGCCCTTGCCTTCTGAAAATACTTTCTTTAACTTGAGTCAGACTTTCACATGTTAGAATATGAGTTATAGGGACAGTCTAGGGAAGTATGAGCCATCTGTTCTTCTGTTTCTGGTGCCCTCTGAGTGGTTTAGAACCAGTATCACTTCTCTTTTTTTATGACAGTCATGGGCAGTAAATACTAAATCCCACTGTTGATAGAAAAATAGATCTTATACTGCTGACTACAAGCGTCTCATCTTGTAACATAGCCTAGTATCTCAAAGTGGTCTTGGGTAAGGTAATTTAAAAGTACAAGGTTGTCTTTTTAGTAAGGTGATAGGGATTTTATCACATGCCATTTTACTTATAATCATAGAACTATTTCCTTTGCCCAATTAGAGAACAAAATTATAAGGTTATATTGCATTTTTTGGTATACTGTCTATGAGCCCTTTTTGACACTTTCCTGTCTGGGTAACTGGGTGGATTCCTGAAGAAAACTTTTGTTAAAATATTTTGAGTCTTTACTGTGTGAGAGGAACTGTATTTTCTCTGTGGTATGGGAAGAGAGGAGCAGCAGGTATGCTGAGAGGTACTGAGAAGGGGTTTGGAACACTTAAGAAGGAATAGAAACTTCAAGCCTCAGTGGTTGGAGTGTATAGAATAAAGAAGAGGCCAGGATGAGGCTGAGGAGAAAAGCAGGAAACATACCATGAGCAATAGCACGGGCCTGTGTTAGGCAGGTAAGTGATAAAATTAGATTTCTTGTCTGCAATGATTCTATGGGTTACCTACCACAGACCAGAACAAGTCAAGAGCAGAGGAGGACTCAGACTGGGGAGGTGACAGTGGACACGGAGGGATAGAAGATAGGGTGGGGTTAGCTGCTAATTGTCTTTTGTAGTGTTTGAAAGTGTTAGCTTCCTACACAGGACTGCCTTCTATTCGCTCCCTATTTGCTCCCACATGGTAGTGGTACTCCAGCCAGCGCTTCAGTGTACAGAATGGTAGAAAGATGAGTAAGGACTAATATATGACACCAGTTGCCAGGTGGTGGCGCACGCCTTTAATCCCAGCACTCAGGAGACAGAGGTAGGCAGATCTCTGTGAGTTCAAGGCCAGTCTGTTCTAAATAGTGCATTCAAGGTTAGCCAAAGCTACAAAATTAGACTGTGCTCACCGTACGAGACCTGGATAGAGGTGGGCAGTCCTTGGGCTTCCCACAGGTCAGGGAACCCTGATTGCTCTTCGAGCAGATGAGGGAGGGGGACTTGATCGGGGGGAGGGGGAGGGAAATGGGAAGCGGTTGTGGGGACGAGGCAGAAATCCTTAATAAATAAATAAATTTAAAAAAAAAAGAAAAAAAATTAGACTGTAATAATCAAAATTACATTAAAAGTATAGAACTGAGCCATGCAGTGGTGGTGCATGCCTTTAATCCCAGTACTCAGAGGCAGAGGCAGGTGGATCTCTGTGAGTTTGAGGCTAGCCTGGTCTACAGAGCCAACCTGGTCTACAGGAGAGCCAGAGATGCTACACAGGCAAACCCTGTCTTGAAACTGCCTCCAAAAGACACCAATCAAGTTTTTCACATTCTGTTCAGTTTTAAAAAGCATTTCATTAAAAATTGACTTGCTAACAGTGTGTCTTGACAGATTTGATTTATAGCTTCCATTTATTATCTACCCCAGTCTGCTTTACCTCTTTGTAATATTAGCAACTTTTAAAAGTCATTGTGATGTTTCATTCTTAATTACTTCATGACAGAATAGTAAAGCAGAATCTGCTCCTAAGAACTAACCTGGATGTTAGGTAATTAGCTTATCAAATAGCATGCTTTCTTCCTCTTGCCAAGTTACTTAGCTTCCCGACTAACAGCTACTTTTGCTGTTGTACAGTAGAAAAGACCTGTAATGTTATTTTATTATTATCAGTCAGTAAGAATGCATGCTCTCATTTTTGTTTTTCCTACTAACCAAAGAGATAAATATTTCATGAAGTTATGTTTGGTATATATTATTTTAGTGTCTTACTTATTTCTAGCAATATTTAGAAGGAAGTATTTTTAGTTAATGTTCATAGTATTTAAACCATCATTTTGATTCCTGCATTTAAAATTTGTTTTAGTATGATTAAAACTTAACATATCATGATAGCCAACGTGGTAAATTGCTTCCATGTTGTAATATTCATTGCCAAGAGCAAGAGCTTTTCAGCTGGACCGCCAAGTGTTCTGGCCTCTGCCAGTCACTAGCCAGCTGTATGCCCTTAAGTAAGTCATTTACCTTCCTCAGTTTCGGCAGGATGAAAATGGCAAAACTAGATTGTGCTTGTAAGGACCTTCAAGTGCTGTCTCACCGTAGCGAGGGATGTAGGTAGTGCAGATGAGTGAGCTGACTTCATTGTTATATTTAACAGCTACGAAATCCCACTATGGCTGCAGTAAATATTCTTACATATTCTTTTTCTTCCTTACTAGCTTTCCCGAAATCCAAGTGGGAGTGTGCAATATTTGATTCTTACTCTGAGTCAATGCCAGCAAACCAACAACCCTGTGACTTGAATCGGATGGAGGTAAAAAACAGAAACAAAACCAAAAAAAACCCTTCCTATGTAAATCAGGATATGTGTAGAAGTAAATCATAGTTTATGTCCTCGCAAATACTGAAAAAAGAGCTTTTATAGCATTTTCTTTTCATGGTTTGAGGATTGGCCTTTCAAATACACACAATGAGTAATGTGTATAATTATTTTTCTTCATAAAAGTAGAGTGTATGGAATAATGTCAATATCTCTTGACTTTCTGGATGTGAAAGGCAGATAATGATAGGCAAGTTGTTTAACTAGGCTTTAAGTCCTTAGGAAATAATTTAAAATTTATTTATTTATTTATTTTTGTGTGTATAGGTGTTTTACCTGCATGCATGTCTAGTGCCATGGACTGGAGTTACAGATTGCTGCAAGTTGCTATGTGGTGCTGGACACTGAACCCAGGTCCTCTGGAAGAACAGACAGTGCTCTTAACCTCTGAGCCAGTTCTCTAGCTCCATAGAGAATAATTTAAGTTGGGGTTTTAATTTTGAAAAGAGGTTTGAGAACTATGTAAGGGGCCCTAAATCACATTTAAAGATACCTTAGGGTTTTAAACATCTAAACTAAATGAGGATGGATTTAGATGATTCTCCCAAAGAAATTTGGCAAATTCCCATGATATTATATTGTTAATAGAATGCTATCTCTGTGTTCAGTGATCTTTAGCTGGGCTTTAATGAATATGAATTGGTATGATTATTGTCATTGTTATCACCACAATCATTATCACTATGAGTACTATGATGGCAATTTTTCACTTTAAAATTTTTATTTCTTCATAATTAAACACTACCATATAGTAATTATACATAGTAGCTTTTATCATGCTAATTTCACATATTCTATGATGTATTTGGATCATATTCACCTCCATTACCCTCTCTTGCGGATCTCTTCCCAACTGGTCCCCTTTCTACTTTCATGTCATTTCTTGGTGATCCAATAAGCTTGATTAGGATTGCTTACACAAACTTGGGTAAGGAGTTATCTATAGGCTCATTAATATATTACCAATGGTTACACCATGCACAATAATGGGATTCATCATATTTTTATACATAAATGCCTTTTCACTTAATATAATGATCTGCAGTTACATCCGTTTTCCTGAACTTGCCATGGTTTCACTTTCTTATGACTTGGAACTTCATTGTGTGTATGTACTGCATTTTCATTATTCATCCATGTACTGATGGGTATATAGGCTGATTCCATGCCCTTGCTATTGTGAATATCACTAAACATGGATGGGCAAATATCTCTGTAGTAGGGTATACGGTAGTTTGGGTATGTGCTCCGGCATGGTACAGCTGCGTCATGGGGTAGGGAAATCCCCACACTGCTTTCCATAGTGGCTACATTGGTTTACATTTCCATCAGCGGTATATAAGAGTTTCTTCTTCCTCATATTCTTTCTTGCCAACAATTTTTCATTTGTTTTTCTTGAAGATAGTCATTCGGATTGAGGTGATCTAGAATGCCAAAGCAATTTAATTTGCATTTTTTCTCAAATGTTTATTGGCCACTTGTACTATTTTTTTTGACACAAAGTCTAATGTTTCATGCATTGGCCTTAAACTTGCTATGATGTAACTAAGGATAACATTGAACTGTTGATCTTCCTGCCTCCATCTCCTCAACACCCGACTTTGTGTTTCTTCTTTTGAGGTCTGTTCAGTTCATTAGTTCACTTTTTGATTAAATCATTTTTTGATGTTTAATTTTCAAAAAAAATTAGTAGAAGATATTAGGTCCTTGTCTGATATATATTTTGTCTCTTCACTTTGCTAATTCTCCTTTGTACAGAAGTTTCTTTAATTTCACACAATTCTACTTGTCTCTTCTTTTTTGTGATGCTGGATAGGCAAGCACTTTATCACTGAGCTATATTCCAGTCCCCATCTTTCAGTTCTTGGGATTATTTTCTGTGTTATTATATGTTTTTCTCTAGCAGTTTCAAATCTTATATTAAGGTCTTTGATCCACTTTGAATTGATTTTGACGGGGATCTGGTTTCATTCTTCTTCATGTAGGCACCCAGTTTTTCCAGTACCATTTATAGAAGATGCTAACTTTTATTCAATATATGTTTTTGATACCTTTGCCAAAGACTATGTAGTTTAACTGTCCGGATTTATGTGAGGATGCTCTATTTAGCCCATTGCTCTACATGTCTACTTTTGTGTCAGTACCATGCCGTTTTATACTATGGATCTAAGGTTTTGTCATGCCTCTGGTATAAATCTTTCTGCTTAGGATTGCTTTTGACTAATTGGGGGTCTTACATGTTTCCATATGAATTTTAGGATTTTCTTCTGCTTTTTTGAAGAATATCATTGGGGTTTTCATGGGGACTAAATTGAATATATAGTATAGTTGGCCAATACATAAAACATGGTCAAACTCTGTATCCATTAAGGGAATATAAATCAAAACAATATTGAATTCTGGGATGCACTTGAGTTGGTAGAATGCTTGCCTGGCATGCACAGGGTCCTGGGTTTGCTCCTCATCATGCATAATCTGAATGTGATAGCACATACATTCAGTACTAGCACCTGAGAGGTGTAGTATGAGCTGCGGGCCTCTTCCCACAGCCCGGCTCCTGGCCGCCTGGCTAGCTTATACCCCAAAATAACAACACACAAACTGTATTCATTTAAACACTGCTTGGCCCACTAGCTCTAGCCTCTTACGGGCTAATTCTCATATTTTGCCTAACCCATTTTTAGTAATCTGCGTAGCACCAGTCTTACCGGGAAAGATTCAGCATGTCTGACCTGGCGGCTTGCTTCATTGCGTCTGCCCGGGAGAGGGGAGCATGGCGTCTGAGCTCACTTCCTCTTCCTCCCAGCATTCTGTTCTGTTTACTCCACCCACCTATGTTCTAACCTATCAGGGCCAAGCAGTTTCTTTACAATGACCTTCCTCCATCAGAGAGGTAGAGGCAGTATGACCAGGAGTTTGAGGCGTGCCTCACTTACATAGTGAATCTGAGGCCAGGCTGGGCTGCAAAAGATCCTGTCACAAAGCAAGCCAAAAAACATTGCATTGATATTCTATCTCGCCATAGTGAGAATGGCTGTCATCAAGAAAACAAATAACACATGTTGGTGAGGAGGTAGGGAAAAGGGAACCCCAAATAAGGTTGTTGGGAATGTAAATTACTCCAGCTATTATGGAAATCAGTACACTGGTTTCTCAAAACCTGAAAAATAGAACTGCCATGTGATCCATTTACAGCACTTCTGGATAAATACCCAGAAGAATCAATGGCAGCTTCCTATACAGATTCCTGAGAACATGTTATCATAGCACTATCCACAGTAGCTGAGCTATGGAATTAGTGTAGATGCCCATGAATGGATAAAGCAAAGGTGACATAAATACAATGAAGTGTTTGTAATTCAGTATAAAGATGAACAAAATCTGAGTATAGTGGCACACGCCTTTAATCTCAGCACTTAGGCAGAGGCAGAATGATCTTTGTGAGTTCCTCACCAGCTAGGTCTAGGGAGTCCCAGAGCATAGGTGGCATAATGAGATACTCCAACCCCCAACAGGAGAATGAATGAATGAAATTGTGCCATCTGCAGGAAAATGAATATAGCTAGAGATCATAATGTTAAATGGAATCAGCCTTCAAAAGACAAATATTGCATGTTTTCTGTAAAATGTAGTATTTAGGGAGGGAATAAAAGGGGCCATGCAGGTAATAGGAAGACTATTAGGAATGTGGAGTGGGAAAGTAGTAGAAGAGGAGCGAGGATAAGGGGTATTGAAAGGGTTAATAAGATCAAAGCACACTATGCATATGTATGGAAGCAATGAAACCCGTCCGTGCTTTGTAGAATTAGTATGAAGCAATAAAATCAATAAAAAAATTTATATAAGATTTTAATGGATAGTGATTAAATATTTGATGTTCTTCTAAATCATTACTCATTGTTCTGTCTAGAAGTCTCTTCATCTTTCACAAACACATGGAATGTGAACAGAGTTTGGTACCAGTCCTGTGGACAGCAACTCCAATATAGGTGTTTGTGTTATAAACAAACCTGTAGCTGATTCAAGTGTCAGGTCACAAGACATTTTCTGAATAATGTACTTTCCCAAGGATAGCAGAGCTGTAATCTTGTTTTTACTCTTATCAATAACTATGGATTATGGAGCTAGAGAGATGGCTCAGTGATTAAGAGCACTGACTGCTCTTCCAGTGAACCTGGGTTGGATTGCCAGCTCCCACATGGCAGCTCACAGCTGTCTATAATTCCAGGATCTAACATCTTCACACAGACATATATACAGGCAAACTGCCAGTACACATAAAATAAATAAAAATTTAAAAATATGGATTATAATAGTCCATGTTAGTTTGTTAGATTACTGTATTTTTCTTTTTAAAAATACATTTATTGAGAAATACCATGCCATGCCAATTTAAACTGCACAGTTCAGTTGTTTTTAGTGTACTGATGGAGTTGTCCAACTACCAACATAGTCTCATTGTAGTCTCTTTTAGGGAAGCAGTGAGTTTGTAGGGTTTCTTATAGGAATATAGGTGAGGAGTTACTTACAGAGTGTGGATGGTTCAAAGGCAGCTGTATCAGCATTTCAGATGACTCATGAAAGCTGCATCCCTGAAGTATAGGCACAAGACATTTTTATCACTCTGAATTAAAACCCTGTTTTCATTAGGACCCATTTGCCACACTCCCCACCACTCACCTCTGATGATCGATCACATGTCAATTAATTAATTAGTTAATTAATTAATTGTGGGTGGATGGGTGCACATGCCATGACATCAACATGGAGGTCAGAGGACAGCTTGCAAAGCCAGTTATTTCTCTTTACAGTGTGGAGCCTGGGGATTGAACTCGGGTCTTCAGACTTGGCAGCAAGTGATTTTACCCACTGATCTATCTCCCTGGCTCCCACTAACCTTTCTGTTTCTGAATTAGTCTATTCTGAACATTTAATATAAATAGGATAATAGTGTATGTGTGGTTTGTGAGTGCATTTTTTACTTAGTATAGTGTTTTAAAGGTACCACATTTATTTTTGGTGTGGAATAGTTTTTATTGTATGAATATCCCGTATTTTGTTTAGTTCTCTCTCCTTGTATATTTTGGCTATTATGAACCTACATGTGTAAGTTTTTGTGTGGGCAATATGTTCGATTCTCTTTTCAATATATTTACTAGTGGAATTGTTGGGTTGTACCACAGCTGTGTTTTAAGGAACCACCAAACTGCTTCCCAAAGCAACTGTATTATTTCAATTCCCCATCCATAAATGTCTGAATTTCTTCATATTCCCACTAACCATTGTGTAGATGGAAGTTTTTGTCCTGCCCATCCCATAGCTGTTCAGTCCCAAAGAAGCACATAGAGGCTTATATTAATTATAAACTGTTTGGCCTAATTAGCTCAGGCTTATTATTCATTATGTAAACAGAGACTGTGCTTTCATTTTCTCTCCACTCAGACCCAAATAATCACAAAGAAACTATATTAATTACAACACTGTTTGGCCAATGGTTCAAGCATATTTCTAACTAGCTCTTACATCTTAAATGAACCCATACTTCTTATCTATGTTTAGTCATGTGGCTTGGTACCTTTTCTCAGCAAAACATTCTCATCTTGCTTTCTCTGTGTCTCTGCCTTTTCTCTTCCCAGAATTTTCCTAGTGTGATTGCCCCACCTGTACTTCCTGCCTGGCTACTGGCCAATCAGCATTTTATTAAACCAATATGAGTGGCAAATCTTTACAATGTACAAGAGCATTATCCCCACAACTCCCTTGTTCCTGCCATTTTCATTTTGACCATTCTAGTGGTATGCAGTTATATCTTATTATGGTTTCAGTTTGAAAATGATCAGTGTTGTTGAATGTTTCTTCATGTGTTTGTTAGCCATTTGTGTATTTTCTTTGGGGAAATAGCTATTAAATCTTGTGTCCATTTTTATTTGCTTTTTTATTTGTTTTTGATGTTTTAAGCAAGTACTTTACCACTGAGCTATATCTTCAGCGAGATTTTTCAGTGATTTTATTATCTGCATTTTTTTTGTCCCTAGGCCATTTTTTTTTCTCTAATGTGGTTCAGGTAGGAGAAGACAATAAAAGAAATGCACTTTTGTCTGGTCATGTTTGTATTGCCAACTGTTTGCTATGTTAAGACTGGAGAATCATAAGCTCAAGACCATTCTGGGCTATGAAGTGATTTTTAAGGCTTGCCTGGGAAACTTAATGAGACTTTATCTCAAAAGACAACAGCAGAGCAGGTTGGGGGTAGAGTTTGGTGGTATAGCCACTTGCCTAGAATGCTATGAGACTCTAGGTTCAATCCCTAGCACTGTAAAAAAATAACTTCTTCAATAATTTACTGGAGACAATAGATGGTAAATAGGAAATTATTTCTGGGGGTTTCATTGGAATGTGGAGAATCACCTATTAGGATAGGAATGCATGCCATGTCAAACAGGCTTAAGGATGTGTTAGCTGCCCTTTCAGAAGGAGCAGTTAAAATGTAGATGTGGACTGTGTTTTATCCTACAGAAAAATGATACCACATAAATCAGAAAGTGAGAGGGCCTTGTGAGATTTCCTCCTTCCACATTGGAATGTCAGCTGATGTTGTCATTGGCTTATGTCTAGATGAAGAACTACAGGAAATGAATGACTGCTGAGAGAAGGACCAGATCCCTGATAGGTTATCCAGTACCGAGTACTCAGCCCGAAACATCTGTACATACAAGCACCACTAGATGGATTTAGCAGGCTGTGTCATATATCCATATATCCTTATGATCATAAAATAATTATGAAAGAAGGCAAGGTCACAAATTTGAAAGGGAATAGGGAGGACATAGGAATTGGAGGAGGAAATCATGTGGTAGAAATGATATAAACATAACACATATATGAAATTCTCTTTTTTATTTTTATTTAACCTTTTTCATTTTACATACCAACCCAAGTTCCCTCTCCCTCCCCCTCTCCTGCCCCCTTCTCACCCCTATCCACTCCTCAGAGGGGGTAAGGCCTTCCTTGGGGAGTCAACTAAGTAGCTGTTTCTGTGGTTTCCCCATCATGATCTTGACCCCTCTTGCTCATATGATCTCTCTTCCCTCTCTTCATCTGAACTTCAGGAGCTCATCACAGTGCTTGGCTGTAGACCACTACATCTGTTTCCATCAGTTACTGGATATAGGTTCTATGATGACAGTTAAGGTAGTCACTAATCCGATTACAGGGGAAGACCAGTTGGGGCACCCTCTCCACTATTGTTTAGGAGTCTTAGCTGGAGTCATCCTTGTGGATTCCTGGGAATTTCCCTAGTAGCAGGCTTCTCCCTAGCCCCATAATGACTCTCTCTATCAAGCTATCTCTTTCATTGCTTTCCCTCTCTATCCCTCCCCCAACTGGGTCATCTTGATCCCTCATCTTCCCAGGAGATCTTAACTATTTCCCCTTCCTGGGGCCCTTCATGTGTGTCCTCCTTTTGACCTAATTTTTCTGGGGTTGTAGATTGTAGCCTTGTTATCCTTTGCTGTCTGTTTATTTATTTATTTTTTTTTTCTGAAGCTGAGGACCGAACCCAGGGCCTTGCGCTTGCTAGGCAAGCGCTCTACCACTGAGCTAAATCCCCAACCCCTGCTGTCTGTTTAATATACAGCGTTTGTCTTTCTAGGTCTGGCTTACCTTACTCATGATGTTTTTTTTTCTAGTTCTATCCATTTGCCTGCAATTTTCAAGATGTTGTTTTTTTTTTTACTGCTAAATAATACTCCATTAAATTAAAAACGAAGGGAAAGATTATTTGGAACTTCATGTACACAAAGTTAAACATGGCCATTTCAAGAAATGCAGCTCAACTTTCCTCTGCATCCTAGAATTTAAACAATATCCATGAATGTATAATTCAGTTACCATTTGGTTTCAGTGAACTTATTGGGATAGCCTTGGAAATGTTATAATTTTTGCTATCTTCTACACAGAAAATATTTTCCAGTTTATCACATAACTCAGTGGATATGGTAGATGTATGTATAGTAATTTCTCTGCAGTTGTACATAGAAGCTTTTTTACTTTAAAGTGAGTTACTATATATATAGTATAAAAGTGATTTTAATTTCTTTTCAAGACAGGGTTTCTCTGTAGCTTTGGAGCCTGTCCTGGAACTCTCTGTAGACCAGGCTGGCCTCAAATTCAGAGATCCACCTGCCTCTGCCTCCCGAGTGTGGGATTAAAGACATGTGCCACCACCACCCAGCCATAAAAGCAATATTAACACTTAAAGAATCACCTAGATGTGGAATGTTAGACCTTTGATCAGGTTACCAACAAAATACTGTAAACTTTTATTTTCGAACAATTGAAAACTAGAAGCATGGATTATCCCTGTGGTTGTTTGAGTTCTGAGACACAAACTAGAGTTAATCATTGGACACCAAATACCTCTATGAAATTAGTCACCTTCTTTTGCATTTTTAAATTAATCTCTAAGTTTCAGATATGTTCAAAATGTATGTAATACTAAAGTACATTTGGCAACAAGTCATCCTGTAGCTTTTTTCTCCAGCTACCTCGCCATTCTTCCATTCTTAGATACCTTTACAGACCTTAAACATAAATATAACACAAGTATGAATATATATTATCCTCTAGTCACAGCAAAGGTCTTAGAGCACATATTTTCCAGATTTGAGATAGACCAATATAATTACATGTTTATGATGTTTTGATACATGTATAGAGACATACACACATGGTTAAACAGTTACCACGGTCAAAGCCAATAGTTCCCCCATCACCTCACACAGTGACTTGGTTTCAGTGGAGATTTAAGATCTTTTCTCCGGGTAGTTTTTAAGCATAATACATTTCTAATACTGTAGTTAGGGTATGTATTGGGGGACCTTATTGAAAATAAATCTATTATTAAACTTTCAACTATTTTAAAACAATTCATATGTGATCAGTTTGGATATTCAGCTTATTAGTATACTGAAGACTTTTCTCTTTGATGAGCTAGGTGTATTTTTTTTGAGACACAGTCTCTCTATGTAGCCTTGACTGTCCTGGAACTTACTCTGTAGACCAAACTGTTTACAAACTCAGAGATATGCCTTCCTCTGCCTCCCAAGTGATTAAAGGTATATGCCACTGTGCCCTGATTTGTGGAAATTTTTGATTTGTTCATTAGTATTTTTTTCTCTATCACAAGGAGGCTGAACATCTAATACAAAGTAGCTCCTGGCAAATACTCCCACTATAGGGTCATTATCATAGCCTCTTCCTGTTTGTGAAAAAGTTTATAAATGCCAGGTTGGTACCTGGATGACTGCACAAAAGTAAAAATATTCTCTGGTTGAATCCCACTCAAAATTCAAATTTAATGTAAGATTCATTAATATGCTTTAATTTGAATCTCTGTTTCTCAAATCTATTTCTTTCCTCTACGTATATAAATATTTTAGTGTAAATTTACTTATGCCTCATCAGAAAACCAAATTAATAAAATAGTATTAAATGTCAGGACTTACTAAAGACATTAATTTTGACATGAACTATAACCTTTAAAACATATCTACTTATTGCTTAATTTTTATTTCAACACATATAATTAATTTTCTTTTCCAAGAAGACATCTGTTAAAGACATGGCTGACTTTCCTGTTCCTACCCAAGATGCGACTACTGGTGATGACAAACAAGGTATGAAAAGAACTAGTTTTATTCTTATAAGGATGCCTTCCTGTGTTTCATCATCTATTTCTCCTGGAACAGCTTCCAATCATATGAGGACTGCCCTCAGAATGTATACTCATTTGGGTAGATTGTGTAGTTTAAATTGTCAGAAGCCTGTGGTTCACAATGTTGCAGTATGACTTTCAGTTTCTGAATCACCTTAATTCATTCATTTTTTGTTGTTGTTGTTTTTTCGAGACAGGGTTTCTCTGTAGCTTTGGAGCCTGTCCTGGAACTAGCTCTGTAGACCAGGCTGGTCTTGAACTCATAGAGATCCACCTGCCTCTGCCTCCTGAGTGCTGGGATTAAAGGCTTGTGCCACCACTGCCAGCTCATTGGTCATTGTTAATCTTATGGTACTTTGACACCAGACATTGGATTCTGTTCCCATAGTTAGGAAACAGAAATAATTGGAGGATTAATATCTAGTATTGGCATAAAGGATTTGACAAAATAAACCACCATTAGTATACATTTGTATACAGGTCTAATCCATTAAGAAGTTCTTTCAGATAATGTATCAATCCTAAAGCTTTATGTATTTCTCATTGGTCTAGTGCTTATAGAGGTATGATATGGAGCCTGGTTTCAATTTCCTTGTTTTACTGGGTACTGAGAAGGCATGCAGCATAGTGAGTGTCTAGTGCTAGAGATACCCTCAGGCATGGGGATTAGTTGGACTGCCATATCCAGAAGTGCAGGCAGGACCCTCTCCTCTAAACCCTGTAGTTTGTGTGATCCTTGTAGAATTTTCCAGTTCCTTCCTCATATACCTTGTTATACACAGACCTCACAAATCTAGTGCTTTTGAAATCACTTAACATTTAGAAATAAGCAGCTGAGCTCAGGCAGGCAGTATGAATCATCTACTTGTACAAGAAGAAAAAGAACTGGGACAGGAACCAAGATTTTCTGTCTTAAGCCAGTATTCCATCTGTTACATCAATTTACCACTCACAAGTGGGAGAAGCCTGTCTGAAGGGAAGCCATTTTAGGTTTTATTGTTGAGCCCTGCCATTAATTCAGCCTCACAGAGACGTTAAACATGAAAAAGAAGCTTCCATTAAGCACCAATGGTTTCATACTTTCGATTTAAATATTCGTTTAGAAGACTCAAGTGGAACTAGACGTTATCTGCAGTTGATCACTCTCCTAACTTGTGAGTCTTTGCCTTGACTGCAAAGCTCTAAAAATATTGAAACTTGAGTTTAAATCCCAAACAGTCTCCTGTTGTTGATTTGGCTGTTAGGAAGGAAAGTGGGAGAAATTTGGGATGCTTTTTGATAATATCCTTCCTAACCACTCGTGGCTGTCTCTCTAGAAACTTGAAAATAGACCTTCCTTCTGTAGGTGGAGAGCCTGTTCCCACGCTCTGTGAGGTTTCTTGTGTTCTAGAAATGCTACAGCAATTTCTAGAGGGTTGTAAGATTTTGTAACTCATGGATAGGGATTATTTGTTTTAATGTCATCTATCTCAGAAATAAAATTTCACAAGGCTTTTGTTTTCTTTTTCTTCTCCTTTCTCTTTCTTCTTGCTTAAACATGAAACAAAATACTACTAGCTTTGAAAAGTACTGTTAACGAACCCTTACCGAAGGACGTGTCTGAGGATACAGGTAGGAGAAAACCATTTTAATGTATTCTCTCTCTAATAATTTCTAAATTAAGAAGCTTCAGCTGTTTGATGACTTGAAGATTGTTGTGTCTGTGATGGTGTGTCTGTCTGTCTCTAGATCTTTGGCTTGTGTCTTCTTACAAGCATTATGTGTTCTGCCCTTTCCCTCTCTTCAGAAGAGGGTGAATTTCGATTTCAGTCAGTTTGAATTTAGGAGTATACAATCAGGACACCTTAGAATTTCAGTGATCCTGTGTTTTCTTTGTAAATTAAAGAACTCGTAAGGTGGATTAACCTGAGGTCCAGAGTTGGTATTTTCCATTGCCAAACTGTCAATCTTAAATATCTTTATAATCCTTCCCTACCAGGAAGGTAGTGCTTAAACATGGAGTAGATTCCAGGGGAAAAAGGGAGAAGTCGTGCTAGTCAGTTTCGTGTAGAAGTAGAAATGTGACTGAGAAACAGTGTAGAATGTTTGGGCCTGTGTTTTCAGTTCTCTCTTTAAAAACCTATTTATTTACTTAATTTTATGTGTAGGTGTGTGTGTGTGCATGTGCACGTGCCTGTGTGTGCTCCTGGGTGTATGTATGTGTCTTGTGTATGTACAGTGCCCATGGAGGTCAATAAGAGGTGTTGAATCCCCTGGAACTGGAATTACAGGTGGTTGTAAGCTTCCGTATGGGTGCTGCAAAAACTAATCCCAAGGCCTCTGCAAGTCCAGTAAGGTCTCTTAATTGCTGAGTCACCTCTTCTGCCCCCTGTAGCTCTCTGAATGGAGCCAACACTGAAGCAAGTTGGACCATGTTAAAAATCAAGTGGCTCCAGAAAGCTGAAGCTTATGCTGCTATAAATGTTTCCCAAATACTAGCGTCATTTGAAGTTTAAAAACAAGATTAGGGTGGAGAAAGAGGAAGAAAGAAGAGATTAAGGAGAACTGGGCAGGAAAAATCGCCAGTCTCCCTCCCCCACCCCAGGTGATTCTGGTATGTGGCCTATTTGGAAGCCACTACCTCCAAAAAACAAATGCTACAAAATAGGAAATCATGATGGTAAATCAATCACGACTCCAAAATCCGAAGGAATTCTCAAGCCCCATTTTGTCTTTTGAAACATTTGGATCCATTCATCACAGGGGAAATACTCTATTTGTATAGGCCAAACACCTGCGGCCAATTCTTAGCGGCTCTGATTTCAGATGGTAAGGTGGATGTTCTGCAGTTTTTGTAAATTTCATGACACAGTGCTAGTAAAAGCTATTTCAATTTGGAGTGTTAAATTAATGCTTTTCCCATAGGCTTTGAGAATCCTAAATCTTTCTATTTGTTCCAGAGATTTCAGTATGAGATCAAATGTTTTTTGAGACATGAGCCTCAATTCTCATTTTTAACATTCTTTACTAGGACTTGGCACCACCAGATAAAACCTAACAGGTGTGCCACAGCACATGAAGTCTATCTAAATTTGCTTCACTCTGCCTGGGAACATGCTGTGTGTGTTTTGATTTATTCTTCCCACTGCTGCCCCCTTCTGGATGTGACTCAATCACTCGTCTCAAACATATTTAACAGCCTATTTCCGGGGAAAACAACACAGTGTTCCCCTGGGAGACAGGAGAGTCACAACGGGGTAATTATATTTCCGAATGGTAGTCAGTGTACTGGAGACAGTTCCTCTAGTTCCGCTGCAGCCTTTTAGAAGGTCAGTCATTAATTAAGTCTGTGTTCTCTTCCCTTTTTCATTTCCCGGAAAGATGATGGAAGATGACATGCCTGGCATGTTCCAGGAAGTTGACATTTTCCGCTCTCTCCAGCTAAATGAGAAGCTGTGATTCATTCATTGGCTTTTGCTTGAGCTTGCAACACAATGTGCCCTTGCTGTTTGTGCAGGTACTCATCTGAGCCATGAGTATCAGTGGGGAGCGGAGGTGGGCTGTCAGGGTGGTGGATGGACGACTTAACTACACTAGTACTGTTGAGGCTTTTGTAGTCTGCAACCTGAGTCGGCTACTAAGCTGCGCTTTGGCTATATCTTTGTAGAGAGAAGGAAAAGCATGTCTGTGCTTTGCTTAGTATGCATGGTGGTGATAATAATGATAACGGTGAAGGTGATATGGTGGGTGATAGACGGGGTACCAAGTCATCAGGGAATGGAGACTCCTTGTGAAGCATTCATTTCTTACATACTCTTGCCCTTTTAGTTGGTGAGCGGATATGTGTTAGGGGAGTCTAAGAGATTTCATACCCATGTTCCATTCTAGCCTAATTCAGCCACACACAGTGCACAATAGTAGTTTTCATCTTGCTTTTGTGTCACGGCAAGGTGTTCCTCCTCAGTGTGGTCTCCAGCCTGCTCTGGGCAGTTCCGGGTGCTGTTCCACTGTTAGTGACCATCATTGGCCTTGTGCAGTGCAGCAGATCCCCCTTTCCTCTCCCCTTTCCTCATCTCCTGCAAGGAACTAAATTCAGAGTTCAGAATATTAGGACCTTTAATTTACACTTTGCAATTCTGCAGGACATTCACTTTTCCTAGGACTCCAGCCTTCTTTTTTTTTTTGTCCCCGTGAGAGAGGGACTTGCTTAATAGGTGAGGAAAGGCAAGTTCATCTGTTTAGTGACATGAGTAGGAGGAGCACCTGGGGTCTCTGGACCCCCAACCTACTTCCTGGTCCTTTGTCCATTGCTCATCCACACCGCTACTATGTCTGTCTGCCTATCTTTCATTAGCAGAGCTCACCCTAACTTCCACACCCATCCCTGCACCAGCACAAAGATAAAGACAAACGACAAGGGAATTAACGGTTCCTGCGGTCTGCTGGTGTGGGAAACAGTGTTTTAACATGGCTAGGACTTTTGCTAACTGATTATTTCTGGAAAGCAGTGAGGCCTGAAGGAGAAGAACACAGAGGAACAGTGGTGGGCCTGGTCACAGGCCTGCCTCCAGCACTGCAGTTGGCTTCCTAGCTCTAGGGCAATCTTTTTGACTGAGAGAGAGAGGGGAGGCCCTGTTCTTTGCTGCCTGGAGTTGGTAGGAGGTAAGGAGGTGTTGGTTCTTCTTTGCCCAGGTGTGGGGTCGTGATATGAACAGGAAGAGTCTCAGTCTTTTTGGCATTTCCATACTCTTGTTGATGGGAAGGGGGCTCTTGCAGCATTGCAGTTGGAAGCTGAAACATGCCTTTTCTCACTGCAGCAAGCCAAATGCTTAGGTCAGGAGAAATGGCTCCTTTTATGCAGCTGACCACATGTAAGGAGAGGCTCTTTCTCTTGGGAGTTTGCTTTGTTGTGCCTTGCTGGCATTTATGAGAATTTTCAGCTCCCCTTTCTGCTTTGCTTGTCTAACCCAAGGGTTTTAATGATCATCATCAATCTAGGCTGCTTTCTATCAGAGGAGGCTTTCATCTTTGGAGCAGTGTAAATGAGCAGGGAAACACTTTCTTTTGGATAAATATGTGAAACAAAGAAACAAATTATATTCTCCCCATAAGCAGCACTCTTGCTGTGAATTTTTATGGTGAAAACTTGCAGTGTTTGCAAAACCATAGCAGAGCTCTGAGCTTCTAAAGGCACTTTCCACAAATGAGTGGGCCACAAAAAGAGGACTGATGTTTTTGTAAGTTTCTAATTACACCTCACAACTTCTGATGGGAAAGTGGGCTCTGTGGGTGATAGTAGTGAGCATATTAGCTTCTGATTTGGGTTTGATGAGGAAAAGAATGGTTGAAACATGTTTGAATGATTCTATTTCATAGTTCTTGTCTGGTTCTGTCACAGAGACAAGGAAACAAGACTATTTTCTCTTTCTTTTTTATGGAGGGAGGTTTTTGAGATATGGTCTTACTCTGTAGCTTAGCCAGGCTATTCTGGAACTTACTGTGCAGCCCAGTTTGCTCTCCAAACCATGGTGATCTCTCTGAACTTCCTGAGTGCTAGGATTATAAGCATGAGCAACCACACTGGACAGGGATATTTTCTTAGAGGAAAAGCTTCACACCTTCTTCTAATTTCTTTGTAAGAGCTCAGCTTTCTTGTGACCTTGGTGCTCTGCGTGCACACACACTTTTTTTTTTGAGACAGGGCCTCATTAATTAGCTTTGGCTGGCCTAGAATCCAATTCCAGGTATTAGCCATTACATCTAACTCTGGTAATATTATATATTTCAAGAAAATATGGAGCTAGATCTATTTCTTCCTAACCTGGAATACTAGTTTTAAGTCTATTATTAGGCTATCAGGAGATACCAAGAAGCTCTCAGGTGGGAATCTATCATTATATCAAAAGATAACCTCTTAAGTGGGTTGTCTTTTTATCTTGGAATGTCTCCATTAATCCATTCAGACTTGAGAATGACCTCTCAATCTCAATGAAAGAAAACATGCTGGATTTCTCTCCTTTTCTTTGCACCTTTAGCTTTAAAAGTAAAATCAGAGAATTATCAAAGTGTAGAAGCCCTTGAGTTTTCCACATGGATACATCAACCTCAGTTTTACTTGTTGCTGTGTTCTGTAATAGCCCAACTGCTACTTCCACCCTGATTAACAGAGAAATGAAAACCCAAGCAACCAACAAATAATCTTTTGTTTCAGCAACTTCTAAGGACTGCAACAGTCTCAAAGCAAGACCAAGATCCAGGTAGTGTTTATTTAATTTCTAAATTAAATTTCATTTAATTAAGATGTCTTTTGTGCCCTGCCCCTGCCTAGAATACAATCCTGGACCCCACACCCAAATCACTGTCTGCTCTGCCTTCAGACTTAAATCTAAAGACATGGGTCATTTCACTCCTTTGTGAATGGCCTGCCTTGATTAATCTAGTGATGCTGGAAAGCCTCTTAGCCTTTGTGGGCATCAGTGCTACAAGATGGTGGCTATTGTTATCTGGACCCCTGACAGGAAGTAGTTTGTGTAAAATGATTGAGTTGGGGAAGGATGATAAGTAATAGGGGTATAGCTCTGTTAAGAGGGAAATAGGGCTAAAAGGTAACAAAGTTTCTGTGAATATGAACACCCAAGCAGTAAGAAGTCTGGGACATAAAATCTAGAGAAGGGAAAATGTTTATGACTTCAAGGAGACACCGTGCTTCAGGTAAGCATTACTTAGGATCTGTTTGAGCCATTCTTAGTGCCTCTTCTCAGCTTTATGTTTTTAAAATAGTCATGAGCAAAAGAGAAAAAATCAAGAGAGCAGAGTCATGGCTGTTGTCAGACCTGGAAAAGAGGAGCAGAGTGGACATACAGAGACACAGAGTTAGTCCGCCAAAGACAGGAAATGTTGCTGCCACTTTAATGCAGTAGAGCTGCTGTGTAAGATAGACTACCATGTGGGTTTTTTTTTTTTTTTTGAGTTTTACTTTAACCCTTTGTGACTTTTTTCCTCCTTCAGCTTCAGGTCCTCTATCCCCCTCCCCCAAAGTGGATTTAAACCGCATCACATTTTATGCTCTTGAAATTTAAGTACATGGACTGGAGAGATGGCCTAGTTGTCAAGAGCACTGCCTATTCTGAGTTCAATTCCTGAAAACCACATGGTAGCTCACCACCAACTGTAATGATTTCTGGTGCCCTCTTCTGGCCTGCGGGCACACATGCAGGCTGAGCACTATAGATAATAAGTAAACAAATTTTTTGAAAAAAGAAATCTAAGGACATACTGTCTCAATGTAAATCAAAGAGTTGAGGTTCTCTTTTCTTGTTCATATAAGCCACAAATACCTATATTCATATATATTTTTGAGCAATAACTTACTTGAGTAGGAAGAAAAGAAGGGTGACCATATTTACTCTCTGTTTTTTTTTTTTTAAAAGGATTGTCAGGTTTTTTAAAAGGATTGGCAGGTTCTTTAGCTTTTTATAATAAGAAAAGCTTTCCATAAATTGCAGAAATGAACTGATATATACCTTATTAGTCATAAATTGAGCTTCATAAATATAGTTTTTGTTGAGTTCATATTTCCTCAAAATGAGTGAAATTATAAAATCTCAAAGGCATATGCTCCACTAGTAATGGCCTAGACAAATATTATATATTATTATTTTAGAAGTTGGCCTCCTAGTCCAATTTACATGATTACATTTTTCTCATTTCTAACTGGCTATTTACTGAGATGAAGAGTGGCAAACCATATTCTCATTTTTTCCAAATGGGAAGGACTTATAGAAAAAAGGAAAAGAGGAAAAATTAACATTCTGATGTTATTTTATCTCTCATTTGCCAATTCCTTGCACAGTATGTTTTACTTGACCACAGTCCTGCCACACAGTCTCACTTATCTGGTATTCAGTACCTTTCTATGTAAAAATATAAACACAAAGTTCATATATGGAAAGGAGGTTATGGCAAAGTATGTATATGTGTGTACACACAGACTATTACACATAAGTTAATTCTCTTTGGTTCTGTTTGACAATGCTAAGGAAATTTTCCCTTTGTTATTGCCTGTGTTTCTCTCATCTGTCTGGCCAGATACAGAACTAGGACCAACCCAAGAGCATGCTACGTACCACTATTACCATTGTCTTAAACATTGTGTCCTTACAAGACAAACAAAAACTATAGTCACCACAGAGAAACCTTGGGAAACTTTTTGTAAAATAAAACTCTTGCCTAGCAACAGTTAATTATGAATTGGACCTTATGGGACTGTTCCCCTGCTGAACTATTGGTTACTGATAAATTCTGGAGGATGAGCCGTCATTGTCTATAGTTGTGTGCCCACTGAAGACTTCACTACATACCAATGGATGGTTCCAAGCCCACAGTCACGCACATAAACCACAGTGGGTCTTATAAACAAAAAAAAAAAAAACAAAACAAAAAACAACCCCCCCAAAACCTCATAAATGTGGGCAGGAGACTTGAGCGAAAACAGGGATAATAGGAAGGGGGAATTAGAGAGTGGGCTGTAATAATCTGATGCACTTTATACATATATGAAGTGGTCAAAGAACACACTTAAAGTTAAAAACAAAACTTTGCTTTGTCAAAAACATTACCCAAACTAAAGGGGTTTAATAGCCATTGATCAACTCTAATTCAGGAATAACTACTATAATAGCTAAATACAGAAACCAGTTTCCTGAAGATAATTTCTTTCTCAGCTGTATCTGTGATTCAGAGGTCATTTTCTGCTTTGACATGACATCAGCTGAGAACTTGAATAGAAGAGATGGACACATCCTCCACGCTTTTCCTAATCATATCAGGAGCCTGGCCTTATCACAAGACCAAAGTATGAAGTTAAATTAGTGCAGAAAAAAGTAGGTTACCAGTAAATATACTAGCTGTTACTTCAGGAAGATTTATTTTCTGTTTCATGAGCACTGAAGCAACATCTCAAAAACTGAAACAGAAACAGATTGGAGTTTGCAACATTATATCTTTTCTTTCATTTTTTTTTTTTTTTGCTTTTTCGAGACAGGGTTTCTCTGTGGCTTTGGAGCCTACCCTGGAACTAGTTTTGTAGACCAGGCTGGTCTCAAACTCACAGAGATCCGCCTGCCTCTGCCTCCTGAGTGCTGGGATTAAAGGCGTGCGCCACCATCGCCCGGCTTTTTCTTTCATTTTCTTTAAATGCCATTATTATAGTGTCAAAAGTCACCAAGTTAGCTGTGCCTTGTTACACTTTAAAGAAGGTTAAAATTAAGCCTTTGCTTTGAAAATTCCATAAAACACTTATTTCTCAGGGCAAGACTAGCTAACCCCCTGAAGCTGATTGATGTGTTTCTCTTTCCTAAGCGTCATTTGTGGCATAACCCTTGCATTTGAGTTCTTAGTCACAGCATGGCTGTCCCCACTCCATATGTGCTTGCCATCACACTGCAAGTAAACCAAAGTTTTGAAATCAGTTAATACCATGAAGCACTTCTCCTATAACACAGAAGTGTGCAAGCTGAAAGGCTTACACACTATTCTTATTAGCAAGTATACCAGAAACAGATTGGAATTTATACTTTTGGAAAGAGTATAAATTAAGGAATATGGCTTAATAAGGGCAAAAGATCCCAGTCATGGCTGAGTTTGGACAGTTATTGTATGCAGTGACATTTAAAGGACAGCAGGACTTATAGCTGCTCTTCGACAGCTTGTCTGTCCTCTACATTCATTTTGACTTTGGGGTGTTTTCTATTTCAACCCAATTTCAGGGAATAAAGTTCTCCTCTTTCCCCTCTGACCTTCCCTTATTTTGCTACAGATCTTACTCTAGCACCTCCATAGAAGAGACCATGAAAAGGGGTGAGGACCCTCCCACCCCACCACCACGGCCACAGAAAACCCATTCCAGAGCCTCCTCCTTGGATCTGAATAAAGTCTTCCAGCCCAGTGTGCCAGGTGAAGTGCTGCCCTCCCACCTAAGCCCTTCCCTTTCCTGCTGGAGCCAGTATATGTCTCTGCTGCAAAGGCCTCCGTGTGTCAGGGAAAAGAGCAGACAGACCTGGCAGTTTTCCTGGTCATGCAAATCTTTATGTTGCTGTGATATTCTTGGGCAGGAAAATTCCCAGACAGATACATAGCATATGGGTCTGGAGACTTGCCCACACTGCCGAGGAGGAAGAATGATGAAGTGCTTCTTTACTAAGAGAACAAAAATGCTTCAACTCCAGGCAGCTCTCAGTATGCTTGGCTGCCGTCTTATCCTCTCTATATTGTAATTTGTAAATAAGATGACTGGCATTTTCCTGAGACATTGTGTGGTTCTTCAGGGTAAGAGCTTGTGATAGGCACCTAGTCAAAATTTTCTATGGCAGTATATCCATGTGTTCTTAGGGTTCAATGCAGAAGACTCCAAATCTGACTAATGCTTGGGTGGAGGGTTCTTGTGGGTGGGCTGCTCTTGGGTTTCTGGGATTTTTTTTTTTGAGGCTACAACTGTATTGGGCCTGAGAGGTGTCAGAGAGGATTGCTCTTTCCCTTACTTCCTGTGAGGTAGGCTAAGTCCTAGGAAAGCCAAGGAGCAAAACATAAGAGACATGCCATCGCTTCTGGTGACAGCATAGATAGCACTGTCTCAGTTGTCCTTTGGTGAGCTGCAAGGGTCTTTCCACTGGTGTATGTAAGTGAACCATCAATATGACTTCCTGAAATGTTTTCTCAATCTGTGTGCAGTTTAAACCAAGGCAGACTTGGCTGCCAGCGATGTGTGGATTATTCCCCTTTCTACTAAAACAGAGAGTCTCATTGGCCTTCCCATTAGCATGATCTCAGTGTCCTGGCAGTGCTCAGAATGTTTCACTCATTCTAATAATGTATTCTACTAATAGTAAAGCTATAGATTATGTTTTAATATACTCAAATCTGAAACTCCCTATGAAACTGATTCCCTGCAGTGAGTTCATCAGATAAAAATTCCCCCCTCCATACTTCAATCCAAATTCTGAGATAAATTCATTGTGACTCATCTCTAGGGTAAGAGTAGCCATGGGTGATGATGTTATGAAAATTTCACTTGATTATAAGATTAGGAACTAGAAGACTCTACTATGGCTGCAAGATGATTAAAATAATCTGGAGAGCTGTTTCAGTATCTTTCCCTTGCAAGAACTGAGAATGGAAATGTATATGTGCCTGAGAGTGAGCTAATCTTTGTGCCTCAGTTTCTTTATCTTTAAAGTAATGCCAATATGTGCCGCCATGGGATTGTAACACTTTGGGTAGTTGAAAACATATGGCAAATGTCACCCTGTCTAGCCCAGGCACCTTAATATACATCCAAGGCTCATATTTTCATGGCTGGGAAGTTTCAGGAGCCGCCCTGATATTATGTTCTTGAGTGATGCAAGGAAAGCTCCATGACTTCTTGATGTTAGTGGAAAGTTCTGTAATTCTTTCTAGAAAGATTTTCAGAAGCCTTCCAGAGTGAGCAGACTCTAGCTTAGTCTATCATAGTATCCATTTGTTAACGAGCCTTCTATTTTTATTTTCTTTTGCTCCATCTCACTTTGCCCACAGGTAAATAAAATACATTCTCAAGTTCCCATCTCAGAGTTGTTCTAGAGAGATTCTGAATGTAGGCAGCAATCTTTTAACATCTTCATTGAAGACTTGTATTTCTTGATGAAAATATTTTGGTTTGATAAATGTCTTGGAGAAAACCCTGTGGTATGTCTAGATAAATCTAATAGTTGTACCAAAAAATAGCTAAGGGGTATTAGAGAGTGGACCCAATGGTTAAGAACACGACTACTGTTCCAGAGGACCTAGATTCAGTTTCCAGCACCTTCATGGATGCTCATAACCAGTTACAACTCTAGATCCAGGAGATCCAGCATTCTCTTCTGGCCTCCATGGACATTGCATGTGTGTGGTTCACAAACCTACTTGCAGGCAAAACACACATAGAAAAAAATAGCTGAGCAGACATATCTTGCATTCATTGCCTAATTCCACTGTTTTTTCAGAATTGGTTTACACAACTGAATTTTTGTTTTGTTTTGTTTTCATACAGGATCTTACTGTTTAGTTTACACTAGCATCAAAATCACTATGTAGTCCCAGGCTGGTCTTGAACTTGTGGAGGAATCCTCCTACATCATCCTCTCAAGTGCTGGAGTTACAGGTGTGAGCTAGTATACCAAGCTTACACAAATGGCTTTCAGAAATGAACTTTTGAGAAGCAGTTTAAATTTATCTTATGAAGAATAGAATGTTTCTGAGATCTAAAAATCGGGTGGTGTGATTGTGTCTTTGGTTTATATTGCTGTGGTACAGCATGGTGACCAAGGCAATTTACAGAGGACTTATAATTCCAGAGTAATAAGAAGAGCCCATTACTGTGGTGGTGGAAAAGAGTGGCAGTGGGCAGTCACGGCAACCGGAGCAGCAAACTGAGAGCTGGCAGCTCACTACTTAAACTACAAGCAGGAAACAGAGCAAACTGAAATGGCACAAGCGCTTAAGCTCCAAAATCTGCCCTTCATGATACACTTCTTCCAGCAAGGCATACTTCTATGTCTGCCCAAACAGGGCTACCAATTGAGGATTACATATCCAAATGCCTGGGAATATGGGGGACAATTCATTCAAACCACCATCTACTTAATTTTTTTCTATGTTAGTTCATTCTTACAGAAAAGTACAAAAGTTTTTCTGAATTATGTATAATTTTATTATGTTCTGTATTCTAGAAAATAGTAAAAAAGTTACAAACCAGAAATGCCTTAAGTAGAGACTAAACCTCCCAGAGAAGTCCACTGAAGGGAACTTATCTGAGTTTTTTCATTGTTCTTGTCTTTAGACATCCTTTTAGATAAACGGGATCAGACTACATTTGCCGTTCTGTGTCCTGTCCTTTCCAATTAGCCATTTGTCTATTTCATAGTGAAGAACTGTATCGCTCTTTTTAATGCATACATGATATGGATGCACCATAGTTGATGACGTATTGATGGAGAATTTCCCTTCAATATACACAAATCTCCCTTTCTTCTTCCACAATCTTACCTTGCTCTTAAGTTTCAAACAAGGCAAAAGTTATCAGTGATTCCAAATCCACACTTTTGTTTCCTCATCTGATTATTTTCTTTTGCTAAATCCTAAATGTAGGAGTTTTGAGATCAACGACTATAGATGTTTACTTTTTGTTTGTTTGTTTGTTTTTGAGATGGTGGTTCTCTGTGTTGCCCTGGCTGACATGGAACTTGCTCTGTAGAAAAGGCTGGCCTCAAACTCAGAGATCTGCCTGCCTCTGCCTTCTGAGTGCTGGGATTAAGGTGTGCACCACCACCTGGCTAGCTGTAAATGTATGATGCTAGACAGCTGCAGCAAACCTGTTGGCTTACCTCATTTCTAGCATTGTCTGAGAGTATTCCCTTACACCATCACCATCATGGCTCAGTCTTCATCTTTTTGGAGCTAGGCAAAAACTTTCCTGATTCCTTCTAAGGACAAGCATCCTTTCATACGATTATTGACCATTATTTCTTCCTTCGTGACTCTTCTGCTCACAAGGTTCACCCAGCTTCTGTTGACTAATCACAGATACCGCTTATTGGTATTTTTCCATCTTGTCTGAGAACTTCTATACTTCTCTTATCCAAGGCATGTAAGAATGTCAGTAGCTACAAGCTACTGTGATTTGCTGCTCTGCTACGTCCTTATCACTTCAGTCTCTCCTTCTGCTAATTTTGTTCCTTAAGACAAAGTCTATCTGGGAGGCTCTGCCTATAAAACCAGGACTGAGGATATGGGAAAGTGAGTAAGATGACTTGAGATGAAACAAGATATTGATGAATTAAAAAACAAAGCTAAAGCAAAGCCTCTTTTAAAAAGTGGAATCCACAGGGTGGTAGAAAGCAGTGTGTGTTGCCAAGGTGCTGAGAGATAGTAACTTAAAATGAAATGACAATGTGGAAAAGAAATTAGATGAAATTCACCCATCTCAGCATTACCTACCATTTCAGAGTATTTTTATTAGCATCTGCTGCTACCTCCTGGAATGTGGCTGAAATGACAGAGGCATTCTGGAGCCTTCTTCCAGGTGCTGCTATGTGCTTCAGATTACTTTTCTGTTTCCCTTCAAGACAGGGGAATAGAGGACTTCCAAAAGCCTCCATTGTGACATGTGTGCTCAGATCAGGGCTTTGGCTTCATTTGGGAAGTTTACTTAGGGGTGAGCTGGGAGAAATTTGTCCTGGATTTTCTATATATGACTATTTCTCTCTGTAACTTGAGAAGCCAGAAACTCCTTGGAAGTAAGCGATGCTTCCAAGGCCAGGCTTTTCTCTCAAGTTCTCTGAAAGATACATTTGCTCGGTTCTGCCTTGCAGATTGCCTCATGTCTCTTTCCTGTAAGAGTTAGTTGTTTCTCTTTGAAATTTAGTAGAATTTAAAATTTTAGTAGGATTATGGGATCCCTGCCCCATGTCCAATATTTTAGGCTCGTGACACAAATCTAGTCTAAGCAGTTGTATTTTTCTAAGTTGAAGTATTATTAAGATATAATTCACTCACTGTCTAACTTACCTTTAAAAAAGTATATGGTTCAGTGGCCTTTGTGTATGTATAGAACTATACTATAAATATACATCCACACTCTCTAATTTCAGAGCACTTTCAACACCCCAGAAAGAAATCTTTACCCGTTAACAATCATTTCTCATTCTACTCTTTCTTCCCTCTAGTTCCTGGTAACCACCAACATACTTTATATTTCTATGGACACACGTGTTCTAAACATTCTGTATTAATAGAAATGCATTCTTTTCTTTCATTTAACTTAAAGTTTTCAATGTTCATCCACACTGTAATTTTTATTGTTTATCTCTTGATGAACTTTTGGGTTGTTTCTACTTTTTGATAATTCTGGATAGTTCTTTGATCATTCAGGTTCAAGT